TCGAAACCCTACTCATACGAATATATATATATATATAGTATCGTATTTTCCGGCGTATAAGACGACCCCCTGACTTTTCCAGTTAAAATATAGATTTTGTAAGGAGGTAAGGGACACAACAGGAGCTCGGAACCATATTCTAATTAGCGATCCCTAAACTACACTCTGCGTATAAGACGACCCCCCACTTAGGAGCACAAATTTATGGTGTGAAAAGTTGTCTTATACGCCGGAAAATACGGTATTCAGGATAGAGCCGGATAGTCTTTTTGACTTAATGTTAATGTGAAGCTTCTGCGAGAATGCGTTCCAGCTCTCACGATGTCCGTCATATGAGGGACGTAAGCTTAGCTCGTCTTCATCCACCTCATCTACATGTGTTTCGTATTACAGCCAAATGGATGCAAAACCAATTGAATCAACCATTGTATTTTAGTGACATCAACTTATGAACCTATTTATCTTGCACTTGCATGAGAACTTCAACAACTTAAGCTGCTATGAGAGCATTACTTCCGCTGCTACAATCCTACTCAAGCAATGCAAGTGCATGTGACCATTGAGCGTTTAGGCCCTACTTCGCCCCGGAGAATTTGACTCGCATTAGCCACCTTCGGTGCCACACCCATCGAGCTTTGTTGGCAATTGTTCACGATTTTTTTCATTATTGAATAGGCTTTCTCATATACTCCTTCAAGATTCGTTCTGCTCTTCACTCAGCAGCAGAGCAGATCGGATTATTCGATTAACGGAAATTGTGGTTGGGGTAAAGGCCACAAGCGCAAGGCCAACCCGGGCCCTTGGTTTCTCCGGTTCCATTGCCATTTTCCTGATTCACAGTCAAATGTCAGTTCAGCCTATTAGGCCGTGCCGTGCCTAACCAGGGTCACTGGCGCCAGTTGCTACCGCCCTGGCATCTACCCGAAAACTCCACCCCAGTGGACTCCATGTGGAGTTTTCCGGCTCTTCCCTGCCTGCCTAAGTGTTACACACTCGAGCATTGCAGTCGATCGGGAGCAGTGACACAATGAAAGTGTGCATTTTCGTACTGTTCAACATCAATTCATATATCAGATATGCGACTTATGCAAGGATTCCGAGGGAGTGCCTACTCGAGACTCTACCTACATACGAAAGATAAGTAACGTACTCGATTGTCATAGTAAATAAACGTTTGCTTCGTCGACAATCCCTCCAAAGAATGTGATATGGCTAAAGGCCTGGTCTTCTATGAAATTCACATCTGTCCTGTGACCGACCAAAG